AAAAATAGAATTATTGTCCCATATCATGGGGACAACCCCAATACTTGAAATGGCGCGCGCTTACGGTCTCCGTCCCCGATTATGGCTCCTGATGACACTTAAACCATTAGACTACTGGAACAACACTAAGTAACATTGTAAAAAATACTTACCATTAATGTAACAAAACTTCTCTGCCAAGTCTTGGCGCTGTACAAGTTCGTGGCTTAATGCATCACACAAGGCCTTGTAGGTTGCTGCTGAAGAACCTTTTCCATGTTTCCAGTGATTTAACATATGGTATACCTTTTCAGACAGTTGGTTGTGAGCTTGATTTATTTGTTCAAGCTGTGGATCACTGAGCCCAAGGCAACGCCCAAGCCTTTTCCAGTTTACAATTTTATCACTCAGTACTTCTAATATATAATCTGAGGGTGTGCCATCTCTTACTACAAAGAGAAATAATGGTTTAAATTTATAGCTGAACTGTTGTTGTTGCTCTCAATACTTAGAATTAAGGCTTTGACCTATTTTAAGTAATTAAATATTTTTACCATCACACAGCTACCTCAGTGTGTTTACAGAATTTAACTAGGAAAACCTGAATATATATATTTGGCTGAAGAACAAAACAAAATCTTTGTGATGTCAGAATTAGTTGCCATGACAACAAACGGTACCATGTTTAAGCTATCACAACTTTAAAATTACTAGGTGAAAGTTTATTTTTACATATGTAAACATTTTCATCAAGTTGACTTGTGAGCTTCTCTTCCAAGTCCAATATTGGCTTAAAACAACAAATCACAACCTCCCAGATGAAACCACCGAAACAACCAAAACGAAATTACTGAAACAAGCCACACAACCAACACAAAACCATGAGCTAGCCAAAGGANATCTTTGATGAAAATTTGGTGAGTGTATGACATCATCACTGGCCTAATTTGCCTATTTTAAAAACTTGAATATCTCTGGAACGAAAAGAGATATTTGAATATAGTAAATAGCATTTTTCTTCTCACACAGGCTACTTATTTATGTTTTAAAATGGCTGCGATAGGAAAGATGCGATTTTCGTCATAGTACCACTTTAACAATCATACGCTGTAAATGAAGTGTTCGACAAAATTAATTGAGAAAAGCAAGCGAGCAAAAGCTCTCCAACTTTGTTGTTTTAGACTCATACAGATAAAGACGAACACTAGCTGCTAAATATCACCTTTAAATATACTTGCACAGACTAGAATGCACATATCAGATTTTTTTCATAGTATTCTTACCTTGCAGAGAAGTCGCTATGCACTTGAAGACGATCGAGCCAAAGTCAGTCAGTCACCAAGGAGTTTATACAACTGTAGAAACAAACAGGTTGGCTCGCATCTGATGTAATATTTATGTCCTTAGCAAGACTGTGCTCTAGCAGCACCCGTTGCCGCATGCGACCGGCTTCCACCTTCGGGTGACAAGAAAAACATACCTGGTCGCCCAGCCGGGCGACCTCCTTTTACAGGTTGTTACGGATGGCACGACAAGACGCCATTTGCAATGCAACTCAACTCGTTTAATGCGTACTTCATGTAAGCTACATAGAACTAGAACGCACATGTTTAC